ATATATAGAATATAGATAAATATAGACTTTGCTAATGTAAGGAATAAATTAATGTTAATCTCTATTTTGGAGAAAAAAAAATGTAACAGCTATTTTGCCACAGAAGTAGGAGCAGAAATACATGGGTAAAAAGAAATTGAAAAATTTCGGAAGCAGCATGGGGGTGATGAAATGATGTTGCTAGGCCAGCAACAACACAGGACTAGTCAGGTGAGAAAGATCAAAGGACAAATATCTAAAAAGCAATCTTTCTCCTTCCTCTTTAGATCAGCTTTTGGTCAAAGACAGGAGAACAGAACAGGAAAATGGGGACAAGACTGGAATGCAAGGCAGAAGTGAATGAAAGAGAACAGGAAGAACAACGATTGTAAATCCTGTAATGAGAAGGAAGTTCCTCCGGCAGAATTGTGACTGGGTGGTCGATAAGTTGGGGACTGATCACTCACTGGGCAACCACTCAAAAGAAAATGTTTATTTCAAACTTCCATAAAATGTGTAAACAACTGTAACCATCTTTATACATGGAATATAATTTATTTTTACAATGTAAAAATTACTCAAAGAATATGAGAATATACATGAAAGCATAAAATTTTCACTCTTGCTTCTATGATGTTATTTCAAATAATGCAAAACATAAAAATATAAGGAATTAATATTTAATCATTGATAAAAATTCAGCAAATAATATACATACCACCAAAAACTCCTTTCTGTCCACCATCTCATTGCCATCAGTGTCAAACATGTTGAAAGCTATTCTAAAACCTGCATGAGGCTCTGCCAGAAAAGACAGAAGAGTATTTTTGAAATGGGAAATGGCTTTAAAGTACATAGTCCATATTAGTTGTAAACAGTTATTTATATTCAGTACAGAAATAACTTCTTTAAGCAATAAATTAAAGCAACATGTTGCTATTAAATATAATAAAAGCTGTATAAAAATACACATATTTCTGCTTCATATATTAGCATATTTAGTAACAGAATTAATAATATACTTTAAAAATATTGTGTGATACTGGCTGCATGGCACTGATAGTAAAATGTCACTATCTTCCTTCCAAAAATAAATATGACACAATAAAGTAATCCAAATTCTAGGGGAAATTATAATGGAAATGACCTATGAAAATAAAAGTCAAGCATGAGAGATTGCATATTTGGGTTGAAACTTTTAGAGTTTAAACTTCAAAAACAGAAATATAAAATAAGAGGCTTACTTAATTAATTCTCAACTGTCCCCAAAATACAAAGAATAACTAATTTTCTGAAAAAGACAGGCTTTCACACACTATGAACTGCTTTAATTTTATGAACCCTACAATGAGGTTCAATCCTTTTTCTCTTTTCACTTCTAAAGCATAAACAAGAAAATGTGGACACAAGGAAACTTGAACATGTCGTTAAAAGAGCTCAGTGTACATGCATTTTTCAAAACATTTGACCTACTCTTTTGAGATGATTGGCAAAAAGTTTAAAAAGGGACCTCCCACAGCTACACTTGCCACTAGCTGTTGTGAAATTTTGAATCTAGCAAAGGAGAAGTACAGAGACCTACTTTCTTAACTGGTAATAGCTATATCTGAAAATAAAGGAAACGGAAGCCATCTTTTATGCAACTTCATTTCTTGCATGTATTTTAGGAATCTAAACTTAACACTTTCATTATTATCCACTTGAGAAAGAAATAAAAAGCTACACCATCTCTGATAACCAAGTTTTAAGCTTTAAAAAGATCATAAAAATATATGTAGAAAGGAAATCCTTACAAGCATTATTTGGAAGGGAAAATAAAGTTAAAATAATGAAAAGTAAAGAGGAGAAAACTATAGATAGGTAATAGGTGATCTAACCTACCTCCTGCTAGACCTCTTTTCACATTTTTCTTGGTTCTAACCTAAACAATATCCCTAATTTTAAAATTCAAACTCCTAAGTTTCTAAGAGGGGTCCTGAATTGCAAAAGAAGATTTACAGCACCCAAAGGTCTTTATCTTCCCATAGTAAGCAAAACCCACCATATGTGTTTTTTCCAACACCCTTAAACCATATCTTGTCCCATCTCAACACATGGCTTTCTTAACTAGTTCTGTTTTAGTTTTTCTCTACTGGTTTAGGTACATATTAACTTCAAATTTTGCATCTGCAGAATTTATTCTAGATAACAAGATAACTTTTTAACAAGTCTTTGAAATACTCTTTAGCACCCCTCCTGTAATTTTCATGGTAGCATTCATTATTGACTGAACTCAAATCATGAGAGTTCTTGTTTCCATATATCTCCACAAATCCCCACAATGGGAAATTCCACCACCAATATTCTTTCATTCATGCCTGTCTTCATTCATTCACCAACTATGATTTAAAAGGCTACCACGTGTTGAACACTGTTCTTAATACAGAAATGGACAAAAAAGATAAAATCTTTACCATCATGGACCTTGCATTCAAGTGTGGCAAGACAGACAAGAATATGTAAACCAATAAACAAGTACTTTCAAATAATTTAAGTGCTATGAAGAAAATAAAACACTGTAAAGGGATAAAAAGGAAGAGATGAGAGGGAGCTATTTTAGAAATACAAGGGATTTTAGAAAGGATGGTCAAGTAAGAATTCTCCAAGTCTTCACATTCCAAAGGAAACCTAAATAATGTTTATTATCATGAGGATCTTGAAGAAAAGCACTGAGGATAGAGGGAGTAGAAAGTACAAATTCCTGAGATGGGAATAAAGGAATAGAAAGGTCAGGTGGCTGGAATATAGTTCCACCATTAAATGCAATGAAATTTAACTGAAAACCTTAGTAGACCCTTCATATATTTCATAAAAATTGCTGCACATAAGAGGAAGAAAAAAATGAAGCTGTTTTAGGATGTATGATGTACATTCTGATAGACATTCTTTCACACTAGTCTTGCAGAAAATGTGATTCAAATGAGTGTAGCAGGAAATTTACAAATCATTACATGTCCTACCTTTAGGCTCCCATGTAGATTAAAACACAGGGATTGATATAGGATATTAGTTTACAAGTTATGAGCATTTTACTAATATATTATAAGCCATAATAATATTTATGATTTTGACCCTTGATATACCATGCTTAGCATTTTCCGTGGCTATTTTGACATGAATTTTGCAAAACAGCATAGACATACTTAAAGTATTTTAAGAGAATCTAAGAAAGATTTGTTTCCTACAAATTCTAATTTTAGAAAATTCCATCCAGAAATAAATTTAATGAGTACACTTACTTGTTAAAATACACAAGAGAAAAAGATATTCTGTGTAAGAAATCACACCTAGAAGAAAAACAGTACCAGTTATGCTCTATAAAAATATTATGTTTTCTTCATATTTATCAAGTAAAATATTCTTATATAGCAATAAGTAATATTAATAAAGAACTTACAGTTTTAAAGAAGATGCTAAACATTGTTTTAAATGAGACTAAACTATTATTATTAAATCACAGCCCAAAAAAGCAGCAAAATTAATTTTACTTTCATTGTTTCATGTCTCTAAAGAAACCCATATAAAATTACCATAATGCTTCCAGATATATTGGCAACAAAAATAATTATTATAATGTTTACTTATGCTGCAACTTTTAAACTTATGGCTAGTTTTCAGTGTATGAATCAAACATAAAACAAAAAGGTTGGAAATGGTTAACATTGTAAAGTGCTTAATTCTTAGTAGCAGTTTATAAAACAATTCTTGCTTAGAATTTTGATTTCTGTAATACATTCAAAAAACAAAACTCTATAGTTATCCTTTTGCTGACATAAGTCATTATTATTTGTAAACTTAATGCTTCTATTAAATGTAATCTAAGAAGTTTATATTTTAATTAAATGGCTTATGCTTTCTGTATACTGAAGCATGAGTTCTCTGTAATCCCAGAATTACAAACTTTAAAAGGAGTTAGTGTGGGGTAAATAAAAATATACATCCTGTTACTCAAATTCTTTCTTTTAGACTATAATACCCAAAACTAGAATTAATGCATTAATTTACTTTCTAAGTAGATCCTGAGAAAAAGTCGGGAATAAGCCAATAACACTTAACCAGATATCAGATAGTCCTGATGTTTGATTAAAGAGTATAAAAAATCCTTACACAATCAGACTGTGAACTTTAAACCTCCATTTTACCTGGTGTTCTCTGAAGCTACCCTCTTTGTTATAGAACAAAGAGAAGAGGAGTCACTGTCAGGCAGTTTGTCAGAAGACATGAAGGGACTGAGCCAGGAGGCCCTGAAAGCATTCCCCTCTTTTGTTTATACTAGAATATTGTGACCTATAGACATAGTTCTGGTTGATTGCCATGAATGCTATGGGAGAAAGATTCTGGAATGGTCAATGTATATAAAGATACAATACCTAGATTCCATAGGGATCCCTCAAAAAAACGAAAAGTGAAAAAGAAAGAATAAATGCAGGAGGGAAAAAAGGAAATGGGATCAGGAAACAGGCTCTGTCTCCACAGTCCCATCTTACTGACTGTTGTTCAAATTGATCTGGTTGAATACTTTTCCTGACCTTATCATCCCACCCTAAGATCTGAACAGCAATCTTTAAGACAACTTCCAGGAAAAAATTTCCAAGAGCTTTAAAGATACCTTGGCCCAGATTTTGCGAAGAGGTAAAAATCCTACCTTATGAAAGGCCTAAAATAAAAGGTACAGTGTTCCTCCTTTCAGATTCCATGAGAACCAGGTAGAAGCAGTTTGAATTTCTAATTCTACTAGACAAAATATATGAATTATAACTATTCCTTTAAACTATTTGTCTTCATACTAGAGTAAATACATTTTCCAAACAGTATTGGTTAAAAATGATGAAAAAGAAAAAGGTAATTTTATGTAATTTCTTTAATATTTTTATATTATATACTCTCATTGTTGAGAATATTTCAAAATAACATTATTTTTAAGACTAAATTAATCTTAAAGATTTTATTAGTTTTTGCATAAATATGTACAAAAATTACATTGCAAAAATTGCAATAAAAACTATATAATTTGACTGTATGTATGAATTAGTGAGTTAAGTTAGATACACAGATATGGGTAACAGAGTAAGTTGAAATAAGTGAATTTTGCGGTAAGTGTTGTTTTTAAAAGAAACATGTTAAAATTGAGTGGCCAACCACAGATTCAATAATTTTTTTCATATTAATTAAACTTAAGAAAATCTATAATTCCCTGGAAGTAAGAGACATTTAAAAATCAGTATTTTTGAAAAATGCTTTCTATGGGTAAATATAGCCTATACTTTTCAATACGGTTAAAAATGTTTTTTTAAACCTGTGAAAGTTCATTTTGTTGTAAATATTTAGAAAATATAATTTACACTAATAAAAGACAAAGATGCTATGCCCACGAGCCAATCAGAAGAGTATGCAAATTAACCCAACAAAGATGGCCGTTAAATTTGCATACTACAGGCAGGCGGGGTGGGGCTGCACCATCCGCCGCCCACCCCAACCCTGGGAT